TAACGTTTATGTACAAGGCCGAGTCAAATATTTCCTAACCGATATTAAAAATCAATAACTCTTTCCTTTTTCATGGTACTTTTTTATTCCATAATATTTTTTCTCCCAATTTTTCTCTTTTTTTTCTTTATTGTTATTATTATTAATTTATTAAAAGGCTTAAAATCGTTCCTCATAAGGTTAGTAGTGGGGTGGAGAAAATGGGAATAATGAAAATTACGTAGAATCGTCTGACAGTCTCGAAGCGTAAAAAAAAAATGGCCGATCGGACGGATGGATGGATGGATGGATGGATGGGTGGATGGATGGATGGATGGATGGATGGATGGAATGGTGATTCGTTTTCACTTTGGCATTAACGCTTTCATTAACGTCGTACAGTTCGTGACAGCGATCATTTCGCCCATTCTACGTTTATATGAAATAATGTATATGACGCGAAATTTTTTATACTTGAAATATTTAAATTAGCCTGTCAGTGTGTTAGTACGACGCGTCACTTGAATGCGACAAGTCATTAAACGAGCCACCTCGACGGAAGACAATACTTTTTATTTATTTGATTTTTTGTTTTCCTTTTTTTCTTTTATTTTTTTTTTCTCTCTACATTTTTTCCCCTCTTTTTTTATCTTTTTGACTCTAAAGAGATTTGAGAAAGAAGTAAAAAGAGAAAATAAAAAAAAGAAAAAAAAAAGGCAAAAAGAAACGAGAGAGAAAAAATATTTGACGTGATTTGTGACTTCGCTTTTTGAACAAAATGAGAAACAAAAAAAAAAAAGAAAAGAGATAAAAGAAATAAAGAATGATAAAATGTATACCTTTCTTCCATTGTTTTATCTATTGTAATTTCAAATGAATTATTTAATACACACACACACCATTATATCCGACATTTGAAATTCTTATTCCGTTTCATTCTTTTTTTTTTTTTCGCCATAAAATTAATTATCGTTATTTTATATCCGACGATTAAAAATGCTCACTAAATATATTTCCTTCTTCTTATTTCCTATAGTTAACATGGTTAACTATTGTATGGCGATATATGATTGTGGGTCGAAAGCAAAAGTTCCTAGACCCGCTTAGTTTCATGAAAAAAAAAAAAAAAAAAAAAAAAAAAAAAATTAAGCTAAAAAGTCTCATAAAAGAGTAATTGACGAGTTTTTTGTTAATTCGTACAGAAACTTTTAAGACCGTTTTATAAAAGTTTAACGTTATATCATATATTTATCCATTTTTTTTTTCTCTCTAATCAATACAAAATGATAGAGGGGAGATAAAATTATCAACATTATCATCATCATCATCGTTATTATTATTGTTATTATTATGATTATGATTATTATTACTATTATTCATTTTCTTTTCATTTCTGTTTGCTTCTTAATTATAATCGCGTGTGAAAAAATTTGTATACGACTTTATATCGTTTAAACCACCTTAGATCGAATTTAAATTTTCTATCACTGAGAGAGAATGGTGGCGTGCAAACGAGCGGAACGATAATCGATTAACGTCCCGTCGTGCACGAAATAAAATTGCCTCTCTCCTTCTCTCTCTCTCTCTCTCTCTCTCTCTCCCTCTCTCTTTTTCTTTCCCTCTATCACCCTATCTCTTTCTATCTCTTCTTATTTGATCGATCGTAGAGAATGAGAAAGAATGAGACAGAGAGACAGAGAGAGAGTGAGAGAGAGAGACACAGACAGAGAAGAAAAGGTAGGAAAAGAAGAAGAAGAAGTAGAAGAGGAGAAAGAGAGGGGGAGAGAGAGAGAAGTTGAATGTAAGTTTTGTGACGTGGACTCGACAGACGGGCACCACCACCTTGTCTGGTGTAATACGACGGGATGATAAAGCGGGTTTTGTACACTCGTTAGACGTAGAACGCGAGTACCCTTTTCAAACATTACCACAATCGCCATTGCCATCGCCATTGCCATCAGCATCACCATCACAATCTCAACGTATTATTGTAAAAGAAATTCTCTCATAATTATCGGCTTTGCCCCCGAAACAACGAGAGCTTCGAAGGGTGGTGGGGAAAGAAGTGGGGGTAGGGGGAATGATAAAGCACAACGATGATAATAATAATGATAATAATAATAATAACAATAATAATAATAATAATAATAATAATAATAATAATAATAATAATAATAATAATAATAAGAAATAATTATGATCTTGCTACTGATTATAAAGATGACTGCGATTATGTTTACGATGATTATACGATGATTACGAGGATGAACGATGATGGGAAGAGGAAAGGTTTATGAGAGAGGGATGGGAGGTGATGGGAGGAACGACGACGTTAACTGAAGAAGGACAAATGATGAGATTAAAAAGAAAGAGACTGGGGAATGGAATGGGATGGGATAGGTAAGGGATGTAAGGAGGGGTTAGGGGAAGGGACGTAAGATATAATGAGGTTGACGAGAATGAATGACGACATGGATGATGATGCGGGACATAAGGGTTCTCTCTCTCTCTCTCTCTCTCTCTCTCTCTCTCTCTCTCTCTCTCGCACACACACACATATATATATATATATATATATATATATATCATTTCTTTCTTTCTCTTTTCTCTTTTTCCTTTCTTTTTTCCCCCCTTCCATATATTCATCTCGTGACAGGACATGCGCTCGGCTAAAAAGTCGAACGACTTTTCATATCGTTTATAACATCTTCATAATATTTGTACGATACTGAGACATCTTGACATAACATATGATCAATATTTAACAGATTAATCAGAGATATGTGATCAATGTTATACATATATGAATTATAATTATACGTTTTTGTAATATATGTACTCTGTGTGTGTGTGTTTGTGTATGTACCGGGGTTACATGCAAATATATAGATAAATAAAAAAAGAAAGAAAACAAAAATATCGGTTATGCTAATAACAGCGACGGTAATCAGAAAAACAGTAAAGTAGTTTAAAAAAAAAAAAAGAGAAAAAAAGGAATGATATGTTACTTGGTTGATAATTCTTGGTCAAGTTATTATAATGATTTTAATAATAATAATAATAAATTAATTAATTTTCAAGAATTAACCAAGTAATATATCGCTGATTATTTATTAATTACAATCGCAAATGATTTTTCAGTGGGAAGAAAAGGGAAAAGCAAGAAGAAACGATAGTAAAAAATTATTTCTTTTTTAAATTCAAAAAAAAAAAACATGATATCGATATCTGAATCCGGAAATGTTTCCTTTTATATATATATATATATATATATATATATATTTTTTTTTTTATATATTTTTTTTATTTTTTTTCTCTTACTAATTATTGTTTTTCTTGTTTTTGTTGTTGTTGTTGTCGCCATCGTCGACGTCGTTGTTAGTACTGTTATCATCATCATTATCCTCGTATATGTCGTAAATCCAAGCTAGCAGCGCGAATATGTAATTTTACGTATCCAGATAGAAATCGTTTTTCTATGGTTAATCGCGCATAACGATCGATCGACGGACCGAATCGCGAGATCTCGATTCGAGAGATCGAGCTCGTCGTATGTAACTATCTATCAGGTGAGATAGATATCAGAGAAAAGTATATACGGTGTTTAATATTAGAAGAGGAAAGAAAAAATCCCTCTTTTCAGTGTAGATAAAGATTGAAAAAGAAAACAAAAAAAACATACAGAGAGAAAGAGAGAGTGTGAGAAAGAGAGAGAGAGAGAGAGAGAGAACGAGAAGGAAGAGGGGGAAGTAGCCGCACAACGAGAGTATGCATAGTGCAACACTCAAGTACAGTAATTAATGCAACGAGAAATCGATAGATCGATAGATCTTTCGATCGATTTTGAAACGACGTGCTGTGAAACGATATTTCGTAGACAAGTCGATCGATCGATCGATCGAATGAACGAACGAACGAACAATCGATCGATCGATCGGGCGATCGATCGATTATATCAATGATGAACTTTATTGCGTTCTACCTACTGACAGTTCCTGTTAGTGCCTTTTCATCGATTACGATGAGCGTCTCTCTCTCTCTCTCTCTCACTCTCTCTCTCCCTTCTGTGTGTGTGTGTGTGTGTGTGTGTGAGATAAAAAAGATAGGAGAGAAGATTTATGTGTCGGATTTATTTAATCACGGACGAATGCCATTGCGAAATTTCTTATTGCCAAATGGCTTGGCACTAATGCTTCTAAATGATCCGAGATCCTTACACCTCTATCCCTCCCTGCCCACCACCCCGTCCCTCCACCCTTTCGTTTTTTGCACGATTTCCAATCTTTTTTCTTATTCTTTTGTTCTTGTTCTTCTTCTTCTTCTTCTTTTCCTTCTTCCTCTTTCTTTTTTTTTTTTTTGTTCATTATACTTTCATTTCTTTTTTCTTTTTCTTTCTTCTTTCTTCTTTCTTCTTTCTTCTTTTTCTTTTTTTTTTTTTTTTTTTTTTATGTCACTTCGAACAGCTTACGATAAGACACGACATGAGGGTAATCGCTTAATTCCGATCATTAATAACGATAACAATATAACCACGTTGGATATAATGATAATCATGATGACGATGACGATGATGATAATGATAATGATGATAATGATGATGATAATGATAATGATGATGACGACGACGACATCGACGACGTCGACGACGACGATAATGATAATAGTGGTAATAACTAGAGCAGTTAATTGATCGTTCCTTATCGTCTGATCATTAAAAAAGGAAGAAAAAAAAATATAAAAATGAAAAAAAATAATATACGGTTTTTATATTGGATTTTAATATTGAATTAAAAAAAACTTAATAACCGACGTATTTATACGAGCATGTATATATGTATGAGACGATCATTATTAAAGTGGTTTTAAATCATTAGAGATATTAAAGAGAATATATTTTGTCACGTATGCTGCACGCCACACTTGAACAATTTTCTTTTTTTTTTTTTTTTTTTTTTTTTTTAATTTACTACGGTATTGAAATATCCTTCAAAAATAAATATGTATACGTGTATATGCATATACATACATGTCATCAATTTATCCACGTTCTTTTGTCATTGTAGATAAATAATTTTGGAATTAATTGAAATATGATGTTGAATTAATTGAATAAATTGATTAATTGAATTAATTGATAAATGACGAAATAACATTGCCCTACCCCGTATCAAAAAAAAAAAATATGTATATATAACATTTGTACTCTTACGTATTATTATTATTATTATTTTTTTTTTCTTTTTTTTTTCTTTTTTTTTTTTTTTTTTTTTTTTTTTAATTTCACGTAGTTACAAATAAATAAATAGATAAAGTGCCAAGATAAACACTGTGCCAAAGATATTCTTGTAGTTCATTCCTTTTTATTTTTTTTTCCTTATTTTCTTCTTTTCTTTTTTGTTTCCCTTAAAAAGACAATATTTTTTTCTCGTTTTCTTTCTTCTTCTTCTTTTTTTTTTCTTTTTTCATTTTCTTTTCATTTTTTTGTTTTGTTTTTTTTTTTTTTTTTTGTTTTTGGAAAATTACATAGCACAAACAGGATAATAGATACGCCGCGTCGAATCGTGCTATTCTGATGTGAACGAACGAATGCGGTGTAACCACCTGTCGCGGATATCTCCTCGCTGATTAATGCGAAACGATTAATGCCAACTTTCACTACACGCTATCGTCCCAGAGATATACCGTCCCATAAAGGTTTGCTAAGGCTAATTATATTCTCGATATTCCTTCTTCGTAACGTTTTCCTAGCTCGCGTATAAATCCTTTGGACACACGTTATTTCTTTATTGTATGTTCGTACACACATGTCATATATATATATATATATACATATTCGTGTATATATATACATATATATATATTATACGAATGCATGTGTTCATATGTGATATATATATGTAATATATATATATATATATATATATATATATATATATATATATATATATATATATATATACATGTACAATATATTTTTTACAATGAGGATAATAAATGCCTCTTAGTCATTATCCGTAGAACACGAGATCCTTTTGTATCATGAGAAATTTATCGTCGCTCCTTTTTATAGCTCGACTACTAATACTAGTAATACTAATTTTTTTTTGCTATCTTTCTTCTTTTATCTATCTATCTATCTATTTATCTATCTCTCTCTCTCTCTCTCTCTCTCTCTCTCTCTCTCTCTCTCTCTCTCTTTCTCTTTCTGTCTCTGTCCATATATTTCTTATTATTTATCCGCCTTGTGTTCGATTCGTCACGATTATTTTCTTTTTTTATTTTTTTTTTATTTTTTTCTTATTTTGTTTTTGTTTCATTATTATTCATTTATTAATTTTTTTTTATCCCTGCTTCTTTATTTATCTACTTTTTCTCTCTCTCTCTCTCTCTCTCTCAAGAAAATACGTGTATAAGAACGCGATCAGGAATTATCGGTAATAATAATGGCGAACAAAATAATAGGAGGACGTAGAGAGAGATAAGCAAGAGAGAGAGATGATCTATAGCAATATCTGATTATGATGATGATGATGAAGAGGAAGAAGAAGAAGAAGAAGAAGAAAAAGAAGATGATGATGATGATGATGATAATGATTACGATTACGATTATGATGATAGTCCATGATCTATAGTTAGATCTCGCAGGTGTTCACCTAGGAGAGCGTTCATTCACCTGGGATCTCGAATAGGCTTGTTCGAATAATTCTCTCATTGGTTTTCTCTTTTCTATGTGTACGTGTGTATTGAGACTTCGAGAGAGACGGAGATAGAAACGGAGAGAGAGAAGGAGAGAAAGAGAGAAAGAGAGAGAGAGAGAGAGAGCAGAGAGAGAGAGAGAAGGAACATTCACATAAATGAAAGAGACTTGCTAAGCATCATGGCCAAGCTTGTTCTCTCTCTCTCTCTCTCTCTCTCTCTCTCTTTATCCGAGAGGAGAGGAAAACGGATTAAGCAATAAAATCGTATGTGTATACCTAATAAATGGCTTGTCCCACGTTGTAATCTGATTCAGATAAGGACACGAGAACGTTTACGGGGAGAGCCTCTAGAACGATTCTCTGCGAACCGAACGTAGGAACGAACGAACGAAACGATCGAAACGATCGTCGTATATGTTCTACATTTACACGTATAACATATATATATATATATATATATATATATATATATATGTATATATAGGTAAATGTATAAAGTGAGGCTACGTTTCAAACCCCCTATATACGGATTAGATCGGAACACCTCGTTTAAGTATAATAATGTACGATAATTCGACGTGAAAATGTTTCGTATCGGTCGATGAATTTAATTCCCAATAGAAATATTTCGTAAATTAATGCTTTTTTACGAGTTTTCACATATACACACACACATACATACATACATACATACATACATACATTTTTTTTCTCTTCTACCTCTCCTACATCAACCCCCTATCATTCTCTTTCTCTCTTTCTATTCTTTTTTTTTTTTTTTAATTTTATTTCTCATTTCTTGTTTATCCGCTTGTCTACGTTC